CTACATCGATGGCACATCTGTTATTCCTCCAGTGTATATTGCAGATGACAAAGGTAATCAACTTCCTAATCCAAACTACAAGTTGTGGCTAAGGCAAGATAGCCTTGTTCGCAGTGCAATCATGGCCTCTGTCGATCCATCAATTGCGCCGCTGATTGCTCAAGCAGCTACTGCAAAAAACGCATGGGACAGTTTGCAAATGACCTATGCGAACAAATCTCAAACAAGAATTTTTGGTCTTCGTGAGTTACTCTCAAACATCAGGCGAGACTCCAAGTCCGTCAGCGACTACATAAAAGAAGTCAAATCCATTGCGAATGATTTGGCTGCCTCTGGCTCACCTCTAACAAATGAGGAACTAGTCATCAAAGTTTTGAGCGGACTTGGAGCAGAATACAAAGAGATCTCAGCGGCTATACACGCTTGTGATAATCCCATATCTTTTGAAGAACTATTTGACAAACTTCTTGCTCATGAAGTTTTCGTCCAGCACTCAGAATCAAAGAATGAGCAGTCTATTATCACTGCACAATTCAGCCAGCAGCGCACTTCATTCAACCAATCTAAAGGAAGAAACCACAATGGTTCTCAGCGAAGGGGAGGGCATTCCAATTTCATGCCTAACAACCATAATTTTTCTGGACAAATGACCAACTCAAAGGCGTTTAATAACTGGTCTAATCAACAAAGAGTGCAGTGCCAACTTTGCGAAAAGTTTGGTCATATAGCTAAGGTGTGCCGCTCTAAATCTCACGATACACTTGAAGCTCAAGCAAATTTTACTAATCATGCACACTATGCTTCCAATCACTCAAGTTCATGAATTGTTGACCCCGGGGCTTCTCACCACATCACAGATAATCAAAACTCCCTTCAGTCTGCTACTCACTTTTCAGGCAATGATGAAATCATCATCGGCGACGGTAAAGGAATACCAATTACTCATATTGGTCAAACTACATTTTCTTATGATAACACTAAGCCTTTTCATCTGCATAATGTTCTTTGTTCTCCAAGAATCAAAAGAAATTTAATTTTAGTTGCTAAATTTTGTCGCCACAATCAAGCATCTATTGAATTCTTTCCCTATTCTTTTTGTGTGAAGGATTTGAATACGGGGCCACGCCTCCTGCAAGGACGGAGCAAAAGGGACCTCTATGAATGGCCAGCTGACAAGTCACAACATCGTCCATCTTCTCCTCTTGCTCACTTCACCACAACATCCACGCCAACATTGCACCTATGGCATGCCAGACTTGGTCACCCTCAACCTAGAATAACGAAATCATTTGTTTCTTCCTCTAAGCTTCTCGTTGCTAGTAGTAGAGACGATTCCTTTACATTCTGTCATTCATGCTTATGCAATAAAAGTCATCGCCTTCCTTTTGGTGACAATTCCATTAGTAGTTCTAGACCTTTTGAATTTTTGTACTCTGATGTTTGGGGTCCTTCTCCTATTCACTCATTTGATAATTTTCGATTCTATGTGATTTTTGTGGATCACTATACAAAGTACACTTGGTTATTCCCATTAAAGAATAAATCAGATGTTCAAGAAGTATTTGTGAACTTTCTTAGCATGGTGAAAAACCAATTTCACCTTACTGTTGGCACACTCTATTCAGATGGGGGTGGAGAATACATAAGCTTAAAATCTATCCTTACGCAACAAGGCATTCAACATCTCACTAGTCCTCCCTACACTCCTCAAATTGTTGGAACAACTGAACGCAAGCATCGACATATCATAGATACTGCTCTAACTTTAATGCACCATGCATCTGTACCTTCATGTTTTTGGTCATTGGCTTGTCAAACAGCTGTCTACCTTATCAATAATATGCCTACTCCATTGCTCAAACTTCGTTCTCCTTTTCAATGCCTCTTTCACACATCCCCCAACCCTTTGAAATTAAGAGTTTTTGGTTGTTTATGTTACCCCTGGTTAAAATCATATAACAACAACAAACTTGCTCCCAAATCAAGACCTTGTGCTTTGGGATACTCACCTTCTACAAATAGTTATGCATGTCTTGATATTTCAACCTCCAAAATATTCATCTCAAGACATGTCCTCTTTGTGGAACATATATTTCCATTCAAAAATAATCAGCTAGGTCTTCCCAGAATAGAACCATCACTCTTGCACCAGTGGATCCACTCTACAGAACCAACCAATATTTCTCCAGTACAAAACCAATCAGATATTGCCTTTGAACCTATCTCATTGCCTCCCTCAAGAAACTCTCCTTGTCAGCAGCCATCCATGGAAGGTTCACCGAGCTTATCATTGCAGGATGATGCTTCACCTTCACTGTTCTTCTTCCACTACTACGCCTCTTCTCTCTTCTTCTACCACACAAGTGGTACCTCTTCCTCCCTCAAGAATGGTGACGAGATCTCAAAATAATGTCTTCAAGCCTAAACAAGTTTTTGACTACCTTGCTGTCTCGCCCAACAAAACACTGCCACTAGCACCTCATACGTTTAAACAAGCTAACAAATATATTGAATGGCATGATGCAATGCAAGCTGAATACTCAGCCCTTTTGAATAATGCTACTTGGTCTCTAGTTCCTCCAACTTCATCACAAAATGTGATAGGCTGCAAGTGGGTGTTTCGTGTGAAACACAATGCAGATGGATCAATCGAACACTATAAAGCGCGTCTAGTTGCAAAGGGTTTTCACCAAAGACCGGGTGTTGATTTTCATTCTACCTTCAGTCCACTCATTAAACATACTACCATTCGTCTAATTATCTCTTTAGCAGTGTCTTTCAGGTGGCCCTTACGACAACTAGATGTCAACAATGCCTTTCTCCAAGGCACCTTGCATGAAGAAGTCTATATGCAACAACCTCCGGGATTCGTTGATCCTGTTTATCCCAATTATGTCTGTAAACTTCATAAATCCATTTATGGACTTTGCCAAGCTCCAAGAGCTTGGTATACAGAGCTCAAGAACTTTCTTCTTTCATGTGGTTTCAGCAAAACTCATTCGGATAACTCACTGTTTGTCTGGTGTCAGCACAATATCCTTATCTTTGTTATGGTGTATGTCGATGACATTGTTGTCATTGGTTCGTCAATCAAGCATGTCGACCACACCATCAAGTTGTTGGGCAACATGTTCTCTATCAAAGATCTTGGATCTTTGCATTTTTTTCTTGGTGTCGAAGTCATTCCACATTCAGATGGTCTCTTACTTACTCAAAGCAATTACATTGCTGAGCTTTTAGATAAATTTCACATGCTGGAAGCAAATGGTATTGCTACCCCAATGTCTACCAGTGAGCATCTAAGCATTAATGATGGATCCTGTTCAGCAGATGTGAAGCTGTATAGACAAGTCATTGGATCTCTTCAGTATCTTAGTTTTACAAGGCCGGATATTTGCTTTACCATCAATAAGCTTGCTCAATTCCAACATGCTCCGTCGATTCGACATTGGCAAGCAGCTAAGCGCTTGCTCAGATACCTCAAAGAAACACTCACCTATGGACTTCTCATAAGGCCCTCATCCACTACCATACTTCAGGCTTACTCTGACGCTGATTGGGGCGGAATGATTCATACAAGACACTCAACTTCAGCTTATGTCATTCTTCTTGGGTCTAATCCTATCAGTTGGTGTACAAAAAAGCAGCGAACATTTGCTCGCTCATCCACTGAAGCTGAGTATCGAGCTGTTGCAGGAGCTGTAGCTGAAGTAAACTAGATTGTTAATCTCCTTAAGGAGCTGCATCTTCCACCTAAGATTCTGCCAAAAATCCTATGCGATAATGTTGGAGCCACTTATCTCAGTCGTAATAATGTCTTCCATAGTAGAATGAAGCATGTGGCCATTGACTTTCATTTCGTCCGTGATCAAGTTGAAAGGAATCAAATTGATGTTCGGCACATTAGCAATGCCTCACAGCTTGCTGATGCCCTCACAAAACCTCTACCTCGACGACCTTTCTCTGACTTTGTGACCAAGATAGGCCTCCAACTAGTGGAGCTAATCTTGCGGGGGCATGATAAGGATAAGGATAAGTAGAGCTAAGATTCTCATTTGAATTCAAATTGTTGTATATATCTCCTAAACCTCTCTTCCTCATCTACAAAACTCCTACCACCAGTGTACTTCTTAAGATATAAATGTATCCATTTACATGACTGAAAATACAAGTTGGAACACCAAATACTTGTTGTTTTACCCCCAACCTCTCTTCATCTTCTTCCTTCACACTCCCCCTCCCCTCCCCCCCCCCCCCACCCCCTTCCCCCCAAATAATCTCTCATACTGATTTTCTAGCACCAACACATACCCACATATAAAAAGATCAAATAAGGAAATCATTTGAGGTCTTCTTCTTCTTTGAGAAAACGGGGCAGCACCCATCTCTCTATCTTTTTCTTTTTTCTGTTTTCATTTTTTGAACTCCACCTTAACACCATAAAATACAACACTAAAATCAACCACCTCCATTTTTTCCGGCAAACAAATCGTGAAGATCCACCAGCTCTAACGATGGGTAAATATTGCCGAAATGAGATTAAAATTTTATGGGTGTCAATGATATTGTTATGGAGTGGTTGCTGCTATTGATTATTTTTCAAGACTGAAGGAGAGAAGGCGGATTAATGGGGGAATGTCATGGGTGAAAATTGCCGGAAATGGGATTAAATTTTTGTGGTGGTCAGTGATATTGTTATAGTATGATGGCTGTTACTAATTGTTTTTTTTTCCAAGATGGAAGGAGAGGAGGTGGATAAATGGCGAAAGGTGGAGGAGCTACCGATGTTGCTATATTTAGGTTAGGAAAGTTTTTGGTGGCGGAGATGGTTATTTTGGAAAGAAAGTGAAATTAATTTGGGAAAAATTAAAAGTATAGTGGGACCAACATAAAAATTATGGTGTGTCCAAATAAAATAAGGTTAAAATTTTAAAAAAAAAAAGAAAAAAAACTTTATTTTGAGATGTGAATACAAAACACACACTTTTGCCCGAGGGATTTAGGAGGTCGCACTTCAATCAAGAAGAAGTTTCTAATAAAAAATCGGGTAAGTGTTTGTGTGATCGTCCAGGACAAGCCGTTTATGTATTTGCCTTTTAAATATTCTCAAATTAAGTTAGGATATTTGTCCAAAACAGTTCCCAACTTTGCACCCAGTGCAATTTGGCACGTTAAAATTCTCTAAGCCTGTTAGTATGAGTTTACTTCAATGGCAGGTTTAAGCAGAGGAAGCAAAATCTTCCAGCAAAATCTGAAGATAACACAGTTAGGTAAAAGGGGTCAAATAGATGAAGCCATTAAAGTATTCAATAGAATCACACACCCAAATACTGTCACCTACAACTCCATGATCTCTGTCTATGCGAAAAATGGCAGAATATATGATGCACGCAAGTTGTTCGACAAAATGCGGCTTAAAAATTTGGTCTCTTGGAATACAATGATTAATGGGTATTTGCTTAATGACCAAGTTGATAAAGCATGTGAACTGTTTGATAAAATGCCTGAAAGAGACCATTTCACTTATGCATTGATGATCACTTGTTTTGCGCGTAATGGGGAGCTTGAAAAGGCCAGAAATGTGTTTGAGTCACTTCCTGATAAAAGTAATATAGCTTGTTGGAATACAATGCTTACAGGGTATGCAAAAGCTGGAAGGTTAAATGATGCTAGGCAACTGTTTGATGAAATGCCGGAAAAGAATTTGGTTTCATGGAATTCGATGCTCTCGGGATATACCCAGAATGGGGAAATGAAATTTGGATTGAATTTTTTCGAAGAGATGGAAGAGAAGGATGTCATCTCTTGGAATTTATTGTTGGATGGGTTTATTCAGGTTGGGGATTTGGATTCTGCTAAGGAGGTTTTCGCTAAGGTTCCTTATCCAAACATTGTTTCACGGGTGACAATGCTGAGTGGATTTGCACGATACGGGATGATATTGGAGGCTGAAAGGGTTTTTGACCAAATGCCGGAGAAAAATGAGGTTGCTTGGAATGCCATGTTAGCTGCATATGGGCAGAATGGCAAAATTGGCATGGCTGCTTCATTATTTAATAGAATGTCCCAGAGGAGTGTTGTGGCTTACACTACGATGATTGATGGTTATGTTCGTGCTGGAAAGCTCAAAGAAGCACGGGATTTGTTGGATAATATGCCATACAAAAATGTTGGTGCACGAACAACTATGATTTCAGGGTACGTCCAAAACAATAGGGTGGATGAAGCTCGATGGATATTTGATCGAACTGCTTCTCGTGATGTTGTTTGTTGGAATACAATGATTGCAGGATATGCTCAATGTGGAAGAATTGATGAAGCTTTTGATCTGTTTAAAAAGATGGAACCAAAGAGCATAGTTGTTTGGAATACCATAATAGCGGGTTATGCTCAGGTGGGACAAATGGAAAAAGCACTTGAGATGTTTGAGAAGATGGGAAAAAGAAATGTAATTTCTTGGAATTCTCTAATTTCAGGCTATACACAAAATGGTTTCTATATAGATGCGCTTAAACATTTTATCATGATGGCACGTGATGGCAAGAAACCAGATCAGTCTACATTTGCTTCGGCATTAAGTTCATGCTCCAATCTTGCAGCTGAGCATATAGGAAAGCAACTTCACCAAGTGGTTATAAAATCCGGTTATATGAAAAATTTGTCAGCTTGTAACGCTTTAATAAATACGTATGCAAAGTGTGGAAATATCTTTGATGCAGAAAAGATGTTTGAAGATGTTGAAAATGCTGATATTATATCCTGGAATTCTTTGCTTGCTGGATATGCTTTAAATGGATATGGTAAGGAGGCTGTCAAACTTTTCGACGAGATGGAAGAAAAGGAAGTGGTTCCTGATGAAGTGACATTTGTTAGTGTTTTATCTGCGTGTAAGCATGCTGGCTTAAGTAATGCTGGTGCAAATTTGTTTGAGCACATGACCAAAAAGTATTCTATCAATCCTTCACCTGAACATTATGCTTGCATGGTTGACTTACTTGGGCGAGCCGGAAGGTTAGAAGAAGCTTTCCTTTTAATAAAGGAAATGAAAACAAAAGCCACTGCTGAAATGTGGGGTGCCCTATTTGGAGCTTGTCGCATGCATAATAATCTAAAGATCGCTGGCTGTGCTATTAAGAAGCTTCTTGAACTTGAACCTCATACATCTACTAATTTGGTTGTCTTATCACACATGTATGCTGAGCTAGGAAGATGGGGTGATGTGGAGAGAGTTAGGGAAACAATAAAAAAGAGTGGAGCAGGCAGACTTCCAGGATGCAGCTGGATTGAGGATAGAAAACAGTTGCTTGTTTTTCTTTGTGGTGATGATATTTCACCACAGGCAGCGGAGAACTTTAACGTGTTATTAACTTTAACTGCACAGATGATGGATATGTGCCATATGCCTGCCATGACATCATTTGGTCTTGACTTGGATAGTTGAACCATAAACATGTATTTTTAAGTGCCAAACATGCATTCACAAAATCGTTTCTGGTTTACCCCTCTCTATTCTTGAAACCGTATTAGATGACAGTAGCTGATGATGTTTTGATGTTGTCTGAAGCTTCTGACAGATGGAGCATTTAATAGTGGTTCCAAGGTGGTAACTGATATTAGGATATAACAAAATGCTGTGATCAAAGGGCATTTGCTTGTTGGTATTCGATGATATTTCCAGTTCACTATAATAATGGGGTTTTGAAATGTGGCATTGTGGGATTTTATTGCTGAGAGATTTGACTAGAGTAAGTCTACTTGTAAAGAGGAGGAATTAAGTGTCCTCCTGTTGAGTGCAAGGTTCCTACTTTGCCTGGTTTTTCCGTTTTCCCACATTCAACCATTAACCGAGAGGGGAGCAAGCAAGAGAAAGGGCTGTGGTGGCAGCAGGTGAGAGAAAGAAAGGCTGAAGGAAAATAGGGGAATGAGAACCTTCCTAAACATTCCTCAGAAAGGGTGGAAGGGATCAAGCCTCATGATTGAGCATCCAATGTAGGGATTTTTCTGTTCTTACCCCGCCCTCCTCTCCTGGGGATCCGCTAACATATCCACAAAGCAGGACATCCTAATTGCACTGCTTATATAGGTAAGTTTTCAGCTATCTATAGATATGTTTCTTAATATTTTTGTGTTCTTCATTTGCGAATTTGAGTGAGTCAGCCTTCTTATTTGTTCTGAATTTCGTGCTCTTTTTCAAACAGAAAAACAGCAAATTTTAAGTGCTTTAGGTTTCATATTTTGGAATTTTTGCTTGGTTTTCTGATTCATATACATGTGTATTTATGTCTATTTTCCATCAGCACTTGAGGGGAATGTCGTTGTGGACGCTTGAAATTAATTGCTTTATCTGGATATCTTGCACTGTTTTTTTATGGAGTTGAGAAGTATTTGTACATTTGAGGAATAACTTTTCTCTCTAGTTTCCTTTTAGTGCATCCAATAGATGATTGGGTGATTATATTAGAGAACCATATTTTTATGTAGTTTCAGTACTTTTTGATATAGTTCTTATACACAGGAAGTTTCCCACGCAAATAAAAAAAAATTGCATTATCAAAGAAAATATAGCACTCTATTTTGCTTTCTGAAGACCGGAATTGAAGATGGGTAATACTTGGATTTTCTCTGAGTGCCAAATATGCAGAACATCCTATAATGTGCAGATGGGTACAGATTCCACCGGGCGAATCAGTTTTCGAGATGGATTGCTTGCTTGATCGATATGCCATGCTTTCTGTAGCAGAGTAGATATCTGCTCATCTTGTTATGGTTTCAATTGCTTTTATTGTATTTTTCTCTGCATGCTGTGTGGTATTCTTCAACTAGGGCCCCTTGCACGTTCTCATCATACTGAAACTGAACGGGCTAAACATTTGACTATTGCTAAATATGGGTTTGAATTGCTTTTCCTGTAGGCAATCTGCACAAAATCGTAAGTGATCGTATGATGTTTAAGTTCTGATTCAACTGGGGTTTGTGAATCAATCTGTGTTCTTCAATAGCTGATCTGATTGAGTCAGCTGTCTGACTTGAATTCTTAATTTGATGCCCCCGAACAAGAAGGAGCAAATATTAGGCACTTTTAGTTTCAAAGTTAGAAAATTGACTTAGTTTTCTGATTTGTAGACGTTTTTAGTTGTTTCTATCTTCATCCACAATTGAGGGGTAAATGGTGTAGGCCTTTTGGGGTTAGCTGCTTTTATCTGGACATGCTCTGTATTCTGCTTTATAAGGCCTAAAATTTAAGATGAGTTATCTTTGGATTTTCATAGAGTACAAATAATGTGAAAGAGCATATAAAAGTGCAGATGGGTTCATATATTACACTGAGTGGATCTGATTTTTGGACTAATGCTTTGCTTGCTTCATTTACAGAACCTTTTATAACTGCACCGATATCTGCTCAACTTGTTGAGTTGTTATTGGTTTGAATTGCTTTTACCGTAAATATGCAAATTTTACTTTACGAGAGAGTATGTGATGGCTTCCTGTGTGATATTCTTCAACTAGGGCATGTGGTTGACTTGTACATTCCTCGTCATAAAGAAAATGAACAGGCAAACGATTCTTTTTCTTTTGTTGCTAAGTATGGGTTGACATGCTTTTTCTTGTAGGCAATCTGGATGAACGCAAGTGATCACATGCTGCATAAAGTTCTAATTCAGCTGGGGCTTGTGACACAGAGGAGATATGTCCTTGTTATGAGCAACCACAAACTCTTCTAAGAAAACCCAGAAGGTTTTGCTTTGCAAGATAGCAGACTAAGCACAAACCCTCAGGGGTTGGCCTGGTGGCAATTGACTTGAGCTTTGGGGTTTGCTCCCTTTCAAGGTCTCAAATTCGAAACCCACTGGGTGCAAACAATTTCTGAGGGCCATCGGACTGGGTAAAACCTGAATTAACCGTGGTGCACTTGCGGAAAACTCCTTGCCGAGGGCCTGTGCACCCCCGGGATTAGTCGGGGCTCTTAGAGACTCGGACACCTGGTGCAAATCAGAAAAAAAAAAGATAGCAGACTAAGCACATAAATTCTGTTTCATTTTGTGGCTACCTTTACGGTCTTGTCTTGTGATATGATATGTCGTATTATAATTTATCTCTTTTCTTCTTTTTTTAAAAAAAAAAAACTGAGGGCTAGTTGACAAATGGTTTGAAACTCGGTGGATAATGCCCCCCCTACTCTTCTTCATGTAAAGGCCAGGTTTGCCTAACTTACACATGTATTTCATTTGTACAAAATTTTTTATCTATAGTTCCAGATAGTTTCCATAATGGAGATATAAGTTTGCAAAAAGCATGTAGAAAAACTGTATATTAGCAAGATTGAGACGAACAGTATACATTGTAGAAAAAAATGTATATTGCAGAAAGCATTACTTTGAATTGTAGCAGAGATGATCCTTTAGTCAGATTGAGTCGAAAAATACATATATTAGCAACCAACTCCTTATTTTCAGAGAAGAAAAACTGATATATTCAGATAGTACCTTGAAATTTATCATGACATATAATGATGAGAATTGCAAATGTATGACATTCAGATTCTCAACTCCATGGAGTAGGGATAGTAGATGGACATGTCCAAACTTTTTCACCAATAATAATTACGTATATGTTTCAGCAACATACTTTAAAGGTGACTAAATAAAATTAACGAAGTTTCTTAAACTGATCTCTTCGCTCATTACTGCAACGTCTCAAAAAATAAAATTTTACCTAAATATGTGGCCAACTAACCGCTTAATCTAAAAATAAATAGATTAAGGAGATGTGAGTGTGTTGGAGATGGTAATTTCAGGCAGCTCCCGGCGGCATTTTGGCGAGAGAAGCGACAAGAACGACAAGTAAGGCAATGCAAAGGAGTGGAATGGGGTTGAATGTAGATGCTCCAGCTATAACTGGATCTACTGGTGCAAAAATCATTGTTTTAACCAAAACTGCTATCACGAACAAAACCCCAAAGCCGCCAACGAAATGCGTGACTTCATCCGTGCCAAAAGTGACTCTTTTCTTCTTATAAGTCAGAACGATAAAGGACTGAATCTTGGTGAATCGTGACACACTACCTCATCGCGTAACAAAAGGCTGAACATATATGTTTTGAAGTATATTTTAGGGTTAGGGTTAGTGGCGAGTAGTACTAGATGAATGAAGTATGTTTTGAAGAGTTGTTCATGCAAGCCATGTATAAAGGTTGTGTAATGGCCTAATTGGTACTTGCCAAAAATAGATAGTCTGTAAAAGGAGAACGAGACAATCACGAATTATTAGGATTCCAAAGAAAGATATTACCATAACTGAATAATTGATGTTCGGAAAAATTTACTTGCATATGGTGTTTACACCACAATAATGAATACATGATGACACACACATTCATATGTACTTTTATCATTAAACTATACTTAACTAATAAAATTTTTTACCTTAATTTATGACTTAACCAAAAGTTAGCATGATTTAACCTAAATATTAGATGCGAGTAAATTTTTGGGGCAAGTGCACAGTTAGCCACTAATTAGAGTTGTATTTACTCTTAAGTCATTGTTTTAAATGTATTTACTCTTTAGCCAGTGCTTTAATAAACTTTTACCCGTCCGGACGAAAATACCCATGTGCTAGACGTACTGTGTAAATATTAAGGACAAAGTGTGCTAAATTAGCATTTTCTGTTTTAAACTTTAGGACATCATGTCCTTAGCTTCATATGCGCAGTGTAAATATTAAGGACATGGTATCCTAACTTCATGAGTGTTGTGTAAATATTAAGGACAAGGTGTCCTTAACTTCATGAGTGTTGTGTAAATATTAAGAACAAAGTGTCCTGTATTTGCACCTTCTGTCGTTAAACTTTAGGATATCATGTCCTTAACTTCATAAATGCAATGTAAATGTTAAGGACATGGTATCCTTAACTTCATGTGTGCAGTGTAAATGTTAAGGACATAATATTCTTAACTTCATGAGTATTGTGTGAATATTAAGGATATGGTGCCCTTAACTTCATGAATGTTATGTAAAAATTAAAGACAAAGTGTCCTGTATTTGCACCTTCTGTTGTTAAACTTTAGGACATCATGTCCTTAACTTCATGAGTGCCGTGTAAATATTAAGGATACCATGTCCTTAATATTTACACACCACTCATGAAAAAAAGGCTAAAATCGTCTTTTCGTATTAATTTTAATAGGGTAATGGCTATTTTTGCTCAGCATTAAAAATGGTGGATAAAAACTAAATACCACATTAAAAAGTGGCTACCCCACGCCATTTCTACTAAATTTTTACCCATATGTTCTAAAGTTATTTCTAGTTTTTAAGGAAAGTTCAAAAATTTGCTTAACACTTTCTTGACATATAAGTTTTACGATTAATACTGAAAAAAAATCTCTTCAATACCAGTATATTTTACCAATGCCCCTTTAACAGTGTAGCTTACGACTGCTAAATAAAAAAGAGAGTAGCTTTTATATGTAGTTGTTTTTAAGTTAAATAATTGTTCCTTCAAGAAAGTATTAAACTGATGACTTAAAATTAGCGCTTTATTATATTTTTTGGCAGGAAATTATATTCGTCGAATTATTTGGGTGTAACTAAAGATGAGAAATAAGAAAAATCATATAGTAAAATGTTGGTACTTGATAATTAAGTTTATACAAAAAGGGGTCTTTGCATATATGTAGGGTTGCCTATCGGGCAGATCAGACGGATATTTACGCTTAACGATTTTGCTTATCGGTTATCGGTTTATAAATATAGGAATCCGCTAGCCAACCAATAAGACATCGGGCTGATTGGTAATTGAATAGCAATTATCGGGCGGTTTATCGGCTAAATCAAATAGACAATAAAAAAGAATTAGAGAATTAGAGATAAGGAAGAATTTAGGATATGTCACCTTCGGATTGCATTCAATGACCATAGTGAACATTTTCCTTGAAACTTATAACTGATTAAACATTTTGTCCTCGCCGCTAAACAAAAAAAAAAGAGATAGGAAACCGAACATAATCTGGATAATATAGGCAACAAAAGAAGCAGGGAACGTATATGAAGCCATATTAAAATTCCTGACACCAATTTTTTCAAGATATCAGCCTGGATTCTACTATACAAACAAAGGGTCGTGGAAACTCACTTCCTCATAGGAGTAACTTTCAAATTTCAACACCTTTAGCTCATTCAACCGCAAAGATTAATTCAGATGATAATTCTTGGGACTGGAGATTCTATTTTGTCTCCTGTAGAAATTTTTTATTATATGTCACCCTTATTGGTCTCCCCATCAATTCCTATGGATAAGGATATAGAGTTTCAAATAGTACTTTATATATAGAGATGTAAAAATATAAATATAGAAAATTTTAACGGGTTAACGGTTTATCCGATAAAGAAATTGAGTAATCCACCCTCAAACCATTAAGCCGTTAAGAAGTACTTGTGGTTAAATATTATAATTTTCAATATTTTTAAAAAAAAGTCATTTCCCTCTTGTTTCTCCTCTCTAGTTCTTCTTCCTTCTTTTCTTTTCGTTCAACTTTCGTTGCGTAACTTTATGAAGTGAGAATTCTGTCAAATATCCCGAGAGATGTTTGAAACATTTCCAGGATGATTAAAACACCTCCTCTACCTCTTCTTTCAAAAGTGGGGAAAAAATGAGAATTGGTGAAAAATCTCCATGGATATTTAAAAATGGGTCTGTGTCCTTCATTTTCTTGAACTTTTCTTTATTGCTTCTTCTAGTTAATCTTTATTTAGTATGCATTGGCAAAATTTTGAATTTTGACTATTAATGAAAACTGGTTCAGCAAATAAGGGTTCAGAATTGATCTCTGATAGTAGACGATAATCATGCAATTTGGATAATATTTACACTCTAATTTGGCCATACTTTTATCAATGTTTGAATGTAAAAGATAACAAAATGCTCTAATTAAGAGTTTTATGCTTTGCAGGAGCCATACCGAGTTAGGAGGAAGCTAAAAGAGTGTTTTGGAGTCAATATGGAGCATGGAAGGCCAATCGGAGAATAACACGGTCGAAAAGGAGAAGGAAGAGCAAGGACCAAATCCACGTTCAGGTCCGCGGTCAGGTCCGCGGCCGCTGACAGAAGTTGTGTCAAATCTGCAGTCTATCCGCGGTCCAATCCGCGATCCAATCCGCGGACGGGTTGACGTGAGCCAAAAATGCAGGGTCAATTGTGTAATTTTCAGGACCACTCTCCTTAACCTATAAGAAGCCCAGCTCGCCCAAAAAGAGGAGATTGGGGTTTTTGAAGAGATTTTGACGGCAAGAGCAGGCAAGAAGCAAGGCGGAAGATTCGGCATAGAGTTTTTACCTTTCTTCTTCTTATTTTTATAATTGATGATGAATTCTATCGCTATGATTGTGAAAACGATTATGCGTAGCTAAACTCCTAATCTAGGGTTTTTATGGAACCTCTTGGAGGATGAATTTCTTGCTATGTTAATATAGATTTGCCATAATATTTTCTCTGTTTGTTCAATTATATTGTGATTGTTGTTGATTGAAGGGCCCTCAATCGGCTGTGCCTATTTAGTATGCATTACTCGGGAGAGAGTGTATATTTAGGTAGTTGTTG